GAGAAAACTGAGTTAAAATATGTTACAATAGTAATTTTATTAGTACAGTTCTCACAGTCTACCTTGGATTAATAAGTAATGTGATGATGTTGAAAATACCAGACATAAGTTTTAAAATAGTAACTTAAATATACTCAATAATCCATAAATAAATCTATTATTATATTGAATAAAGCTTAGGTTAAATTTTTACAATAATATATAGGACAATATATCTGGCAATCACAACACTACAACTCATGAGTTGAGTGTTTGTTTAATCAAAATGCACTGAACATAAAGAGTTCACTGTGTATTATACTGCAGTTGACAAGACATACAAGATACTTTCTCAATTTCTATATGTGGATAGGTTTCCCTGGCAGAAATAAAAACTAGGTGTTCTCTAAAGATAGTGACAAAGATTAAGTGATTTGACAGGAGAGGCAAAGGAAATATAAATTCTTTTGAAAGACTTTCAAATTTGAGAATGTCTTAAATAATCTGACTTAATGTGATAATAAAGAGTTCAGTAGCAAAAAATAAATTACTGTAATAAGAGAAGATGGCCATGGAACATTCTACCTCCTATGAAATACTATAAAATTTAAGGCTAGATTAAATTCTGGTAAATAATATGATCAACCTTTCCTCCTTTATAAAAGAATCTGAAACCATCCAGATTAATTAACAAGATTCAGTCTCTCCAGTCAGCACTAGTGACTCTATGCTTCTGACTCTATGCCAATCTTTGCATTAGGAAAAATTCTCCACAGATGTTTTAGTAAATTTGAAACCCTGCATAGACCTTGGATAGTAAATTCTTTAGCTGATATTAAACATTATGATGTTTTTACTTTGACACTATATAACCAAGACTTTAATATCCTTGTAGCTCCATTTATGCACTTTGAAATGTGATGTGTATTTAATTTCTTAATAAATGATGAATTATACTATACCCTTTCACTCCTTATCATGTGTAGTCTACTGGGATGCAACATGGCCTACATAATGCTAAGAATCAGGAGCTACTTCCAAAATTTTTTTTTTTTTTCAAACAAACTTTTCAGATTTTTTTGCTACATATGTAAACCCCACCTGCTGTATCAAACCTGGTTGTTTAAAAGTAAAAGCATCTTGTCTCTCAGGGTTCTGTGTACTCAGACTGGATTCAGTTCCACAGTCCTTCTGCTATGGATACTTCACTTGAAGTGTCTCAATGATAGTCATTGTTGGTAAAGCCAGCTACAAAATTTTCATGGCCTGGTGTAGTAAGCATGTAGGCTAGCTAGATTAAAATTTATTGAAAATTTCTTGGCAGAACATTGAACCAGGTACAAGACTCATCTAAGTGCAGGACCCTTCTAAGCATAAGGCCTTTGTATGTCACTGCACTCATGTGCCCCTGGAACAGGCCCTAGATGTTGGCAAGAGTGGGAGTCCTTATTGGGTTGACTTGGATGACGGTACAGTTGGACCTCATTCATTCTGGCTAAGAGTAGTCTCAGAGCATCTCCTTTCCATCTGACTTCTACACATGGTCTTTCCATGTGATCTTTCCAGCAAAATAAAAAGCCTTCTTGGAAGGCAGCTCAGGGCTTTCAATAATAAGCATACAAAGGGAGAGAAAGGAAAGCCACCTAGTTTCTTGAAAGCTAGTTTCGCTGCCACTATGTTCAGTAGGTTAACGCAGTCATAAGCCACCCTAGATTCCATCAAGGGCATGCACACTGGGAGTCATGGTTTATCGGAGGTCAAATAAAGGAGAGCAGCTGTAATATTGCCCATTTACTAACTCAAGAATTAAGCGCTGATGTCGTTCAGGTCTACGTGCAAACATTATCTGCCTGGAAATGTAGTCCTTGGCTACCCTAACTAAAATGATCTTCCCACTTCATTCTGCTGACTTTATTGTCAACTACTGTCCCACTAGGATAATTTCTCCATGAAAGTAGGAAATTTGTTTTGTCTGCTGCAGCATACTCAGTGTTAAGAGTTCTTTACAAAAAATAGGTAATTAATATTTTTAAATAAATGAATTAGTAAATCTTACATAGCAGAAGAGATATGTATATATGCATATCTATCTAATATTAATCTATCAATCTATCTATTTTAAATCTCTCATTTAAAAAATAGTAGAAAAGATAATTTTGGTTTCAGAGTCAGGGTAGGTGGTACACACCTGTAGTCTCAGCCATTCAGCACGTATAGGTCCGAGGATAGTTTCAGCCCAGAAGTTCACGGCTGCAGTGAGCTGTGATCATGCCCATAACTGCAGCCTGGATGACAGAACAAGACCCTGTCCCAATAATGATGATGATGATAATAATAATAATAATAATAATAATTTTTGTTTCATTAGAGTAGCTTTGCTGGTCTGGAGGGCAAGGGTACATTCAGATAAATTTTTCAATTTGGTGACTGAATATGATTTTGCATTCCAGATAGGCCTGTGCAGTAGTTTATAGCTTGGGTAGCTATGTCAATCATATGTCATAAAGATAAATTTCTGATTCAGTTTATTATCATCTATATAAACAAGCTTTTTCTTGCTTTTACATGACAAATCTTTTCATTATATGCTGAAAGGGCTTTGTTTCTCTGTGTATTTTTTTGTAGTTTTCATATGATTGTCTCTAAATGAAGGAAAGATACCAACAGAGTTAAAGAGAACAAGTGTCTCATGATGGCAGAAATTGACTGCATTAAGATAGTCACTCAAAGCTGTATGTATATATATACGTGTGTGTGTGTGTGCGTGCGCATGCATGTGTGTCCATGTTTGTGTTTGTCTGTGTGTGTATCTGTAATATGCATACATTTATATATGTATATATGTACTTTGAACTCTCCCAAATTCATCGAACACAAGCCTAAATCTTGTAATAAGATGAAGTGTGCATGAACAAACATACAAATACATACATATGTACCCATAACATGCATAAAAGCTATGTATGCATTTGTATATGTCAGCAATAATTTTTGGTAATGCATAATTTCATATTAAAATTATAATCCGTAATAGTTCCTGAGTTGAGTTTAATATTTAGATATCATATTGACATCATGATATTTGTGCTTTTTTTGTTTGAGACAGAGTCTTGCTTTTTTGGCGCCAGGCTGATTCTTGTGCCTCAGCCTCCTGAGTAGATGGGAATACCAGCATTTGCCATCATACCCAGATAATTTTTGTATTTTTAGTAGATGCTGGGTTTCACCATGTTGGCCAAGTTGGCCTTGAACTCTTGGCCTCAAGTGATCTGCCTGCCTCGGTCTCCCAAACTGCTGAGGTTACAAATGTAAGCCATCGCGCTCAGCCTTATAACATATTCAAAACTATCTGAGTACAAATCTCTTCCTCAAGATGAGAGTTATTTAGTTAATTGAAAAAAAAATCATGTTGAGAATATAACTTTTTTCGAAAGTTTCTATCTAAAATAAATGTGCGTGCATTTTTCAGCTTATGGCAAATCCTGTGAGATTAAATAATTGAAGGGGAGTGGGGATTTCCTTCCATGGGTTTTTCCAGTATCCATATAAGAAACTCCTGAGTGATTGTGAGAAACCCTTACAAAAATTCAGCTACAAATTTATAAGTTTCGGTAAATTATCTTGCTTTTCCCGACATAAAGAATTTTTCTCATGGGATAAATGAATTTGAGATATTGTTGCTTTTATGGAAAATTGAGTCATTTTATCCTGACACTCCAAGACAGTATTTCTTATGTATTTATATTTAATCTTTGGTTCTAAAGGTGTTTCCAAGTTTGTATGTAGAAGATAAGCATCTCTCCAGATTTAATCAGTGAAATTCTCCATACAATATTAGAATGTACCTTACTGCATAGTTTTGATGTATTGCCTAAGAGAAGAAAATATATATACCCTGGTTTGGTTTAATATGCCCCTTCAGATGAACATTTGAATTGGATAGAAACAGTTTTGACATGTACTTGAAGACTATAAATGCTGCAAATGACAGCTTTTAATCAGCATGATAAATAGCAAAGGTCTGTAAATGGTATCAAATAATTTCTAAAAAAGAAAACTAATTTTCCACTCCCACTGCTAGCAAATTTGTCAACTACAGTTTGATAGAACCAAAACATCTGCTCTTGGAAGCTGTGTAAACTCTCTCAGTAAAACGATGCATTATTTTGTTTTCAGATATACATTCATCTCATTCCTAATTTAGTATGTTTATGAAGTACTAAGATAAATTCCTGATTGAAAATTGTATGTAGTTAAAGATAGAAGTTTTGTTGCTTAAAGTTTTAGCTTTAGTTTTTGCTCTGTCTTCTTTTTGAATTTCTTTGTTATGATGCTAAAAATGCATATTTGTTCTCTTTTCCAATTATATTATTTTGAAGTTTAAGAAAGCTAATACATGTAAACAACATAAAGCATCATTAAAACTAGTAAGTATTTAATAACTCACATAAGTGTTATGAAGAATTATATTAATTATCAAAGGGTTTCTATCTTTTTTATTTACAAATATATGGTTTTTTTATCCAACAAAATGAGAAGGAAACTCACAGACTTGAAGAAAATATTTGCAAAAGACACGTATAATAAAATGCTGTTATACAAAATATACAAAGAATTAAAACTCAACAATGAGACAACAAACAATCCCATTAAAAAGGGGGCAAAAGACAAGCGGACTTATTGCCAGAAAATATACAGAGTTAAAAACAAGCATCTGAAAAGATGTTCAACACCTTATGTCTTTAGGGAATTTTAAATTTAAACAATAGTGAGATTCCACCATGAAGCAATTAGAATTTCCAAATTTCAAAACACTGACAACACCAAACACTGGTGAGGGTGTGGAACAAGAGGAACTCTCATTCACTTCTGGAGGGACTGCAAATGTTACAGCCACTTTGGAAGACAGTTGGGCAGTTTCTTACAAAACTAAAAATACTCTTACCATATGACACAGCAATCATACTTCTTGATATTTACTCAAATGAATTAAAAACTTATGTTCACATAACTACCTTAACCTGGATGTTTATAGCAGCGTTATTCATAATTGCCTAAACTTGGAAGCAATCAGGATGCCCTTCAGTAGCAAGCAGATAAAGTGGGGTATATCCAGAAAATGAAATATTATATGGCACTAAAAAAAATAAAGCTATCAAACCATGACAGGACATGAAGTAAATATAAATTCATATTACTAAGTGGAAGAAGGTAACCATAAACAACTACATACTATATGATTTCGGGAATATAATATTCTGAAATAGGCAAAACTATAGAGGTAATAAAATGGTTGCTTGCCAGGGGTTAGGAGAGAGAGACAGATGAATGGACAGAGAATATGTAAGTTTCAGATAGTGATACTATTCTGCATGATACTACAGTGGATATACACCATTATACATTTGTCAATACCCAACAAATGTGTAACAGCAAGAGTGAGCCCTAATGTAAACTATGAACTCAGGATGATAGTTATGTCAATGTACATTCATAATTTGTAACAAATGTACCACTATGGAATGTAATATTGATAAGGGGACATGTTGTGAGTTTGTAGAGAAAGGGAGTATATGATAACACTAAGCATTTTCTGTTCAATATTGCTGTGAACCTAAAATTGTTCTAAAATAAAGTTTATTAATTAAAACTTGGGTTTCTCGATGATTCATTTTGGCATGCAGGTTTGGTCAGAGATATGTTAAATACCTACTATGGGTCAGATGCCATTACATCAAAGATAAAACAAAACCAACAGGAGAGAAAAATATATATATATATAATTTATAACCACATTTATATAAAACAGCATAATCTTACATATATATAAAAGATATAAATACAGAGAGAGAGAATTTTATTATAAGAGGTTTACATACATGGTATCTGAGGCTGAGATTTCCCACGTTATGCTCTCTGAAATCTGGAGACTCAAGAAATCTAGTTGTGGGGTTCAAAGGCCTGAGAGCTGGAGAGCTAATTATATAGATGGTGTGAATTTCAGTCTGGCTGGAGAACCAGCAGTACCAAGGGCAGGAGAAGATTCATGTTCTAGTCAGGCTGATTTGATTCAGTCCTCCTTCACCTTTTTGTTTTATTCACGTCTTCCATGGATTAGATAATGCCTGCCCACATTGGTGAAGGCAGATCTTCTTTATTTAGTCTACTGATTCAGATGCTAATCTCTTCCAGAAATACCTCCACAGATACACCAGTTATTTCTCACAGTTCAACCATTTATTCCTATGGCCTAGTCATGTGGACACAAAACTAACAACCCTACCCATAGTATATTGTGAATGTAAAAATGAAAAAAAAAAAAACTATCATACATCTAAACGAACTTATTGTTTAGTAGGAAAGAAGAATGTCCAGGTGGTGTTTTAAATCTTATTACCCTGTTTGAATTCTAAGACAGTTTCCTAAGGAAAATGATTTGAGGACAGAAAGGGAGATTATTTCAAGAAGGAAAAACAATCTGAAAAAAATAAACAAAAGCAAGAACAGAGGCAAAAAATATAAGCATTGCTTTTCCTGGAATATACAGTGTAGTGTGTAATACAATGGGGCATGGATAAAAAATTATGTTGAAAACCGCCAGTCTAGCACGGTTTTCAAGCTATACTTAGGAGCTTAATTAGTGCATTTACTGGGCAATGTGTAAGTATTAAGAGATTTTAAGTAACAGTACAGTCCTCCATAATCTGTACCCTGACCCTTTATTCTGTGACCACAGCTTCTATGAAATTTTTCCTCACTTTCTATATGCCAGCAATTCAGAGGTTTACAACATTCTGGCACACACCTGCTTTAGGCCTTTGTTGCAACTTTGTTTTGTTTATTGTGGTTTCCCTCTTAGAACAGTGCCTGGAAAAATAACAGGCATTCAGTTTAAAAACATGTTTAATTAGTGATTTTACACATTTGTTACACCAAATTCAGATATGTGTTCCTCATTGTCTGTTTCAGTGGACATTTCTTCTATCCATTTCCATGTTAAGCATCTTCACTTGATTCACTGAATTCTAAGTTGCTTTAGCACAAAGATCTTATCTTGCTTCTTAATATATAACTGATAAATGAAACTACAACTATCATTCCATTCTTTGTAAATTCCTTTTCTCCAGAATCCATATCTTATATGCCCATGCCTTCCATTCAGTTATTCCAATGTATTTTTTATTGACTCCTCTTCTGAGTATTCTCTAGATGTTGGAGTTCTGCAAGATTATGTCCTAAGATCCTTTCTATTGCAAATACTTTACCTAAATTTTATTAAATTAATTCTATGTGATCTGCCCCAGGATGTATTAAACGTGTTGACCATTTTTTAAGTCATTAATTTTGATATATGAATAAGTTTCTCCTATGAATTAAGATATTTGATAAGATTTTTACAGGATATTTTCAGAAAATATTTTTCAAAAAATTATCTGAGATTTATTAGCAGATCTATCTCATGCCAAAATTAACTTGTTTTTGAGGCTGGGCTTTTGGAGTACTTCATGATCTCTATTGATAGTAGAAATAATAATAATGATAAATATTGCTCATTTATATGTTTTTTAAGACTTGTTAATGAAGCTTTGTAATATATTTTCCCCATTGTTCCATGGAGAAAATAGAGATGGCATTAATCAAATTATGGCATTAATCAAATAGAGATGGCATTAATCAAAGTCTCACGTAAAGTAAGATTTAGAAAGCTTAGGAAAATCTAGGATTTACTGAATTACTACTTGTGCCATGTGTTATGGTAAAGGTTACATATAAGGTTCCTTGTTTAAATCCTTCCCGGAAACCTGTAAGGTTTGAGTATAATTTCTATTTTGGAAATACGGAAAATAAAACATGAAAAGTTAAGTTATTCAAAGTCACAGACAGAGAGATATGTCTCACTCAAAATACAGTATTTTGTCCTACAAGAGTGTTTTAAAACTAGTGGCACGTGGGAAAGTTTCCTTAAGCACCAGGAGTCACTTCTGGGATCCGAGATAGTAGAGGTGGCTGGACCCTTGACCTTTGATCTCAGCAAAATATGCTTTTCTTTCATTTGTTGTACATGCAGGAGTTATATATTTTTTTAAATCCCATAGAATTTAGAATACAAAGAGTGAACCTTAATTTAAACTATGAATCAGATGATAGTAATGTGTCAGTGCAGGTTAATCAATTGTAACAAATGTATGTGAGTCAGAAGTATATGAGCAATCTTGCTACCTTTCACTAAGGTTTTGCTGTGTATCTAAAAAAAAAAGTTACCAACCTGTCATTTGACTCAATATGGATCTATCTGAACTTAGTGAAATCACTTAGTTGATACAAGTCACAGAAATAGTAACTATAATATTTCATTGACAATAATATGTATCTTGATAATATAAAATTATATATATATATTATACCATTTATATGTATCACCATTTGATATTTATATGCCAATTATACCTAGTCTAAAATTTGTTCTAACTGGAGGAAGTGACAGTAATAATGAACATATTAAGCAGCTTAATATTTCTATTAAAGCATGCTAGGTATTCTACTCTTTCTTTAAGGTTATGAATAAGAAATTTTTTTTTCCTCTTCTTGTCCCCGATTCTCCCAACCCACTCTTGATTTTCATCTTCAAAAGTATACTTTCCATACTGATAAATTATTTATTCAGTTGTTACATTAATTACTTCCCTCTTTTCTCCTCCATACCAGTTTTATTCATATCTGCAGTTTCAAAATAAAATTTTGTTATCATAATGATAACACCACTATCTAGAGGTTTTTATGATGGTGTTTTAGGTGCTATTCTAAGCATTTTATTTAGATGAAGTTCCTTAGGTGTCACAGTAACCTTATGAAAATATTACATTTAGAAAAACTGAGGTTAGAAAGATTATAAAACTGTCTCAACATCATATATTCATTAGAAAGAATCAAGTACAAAAGTCGGGCCATTTGTTCTTGACCTCCACAGCAAACTGATGCTACACATGACAAGTTCTGTCCATATAATTTTGGCTTTCACTACAAAAACCCTCAGTGTTAGTTCATAATTTACCTGATGTCTGAAATACAGACCAAAAAAGGTCTGTCTGTCTGGGAGGTTGCAAATCTGAGCACAGAGAGATATGTGGCTGCTCCCTGGGTTAAATGAGAAATGCTATTCTCAGGAGGTTAATTATCACAAATTAGAAGCTTTCAATAGTCTGGAAGCATCAGGGAAGAAATAGCAGATTAGCAATGATAAAATCTCATGGGCTCTGATGGGAAGCACTTTATATTGGCGCTAATGAAGAAATCAGAAGTAACCATGCTTTGAATGCTTAGAAATTTCAGGTTTCAGCATATTAAGAATTCAGTCAAATACAACTTAAAAGAGTTTCAGGATTACAGTAATTGAGCAAAAGGATGACTCTTGAATATGGACTAAAACTTTAGGAAAATTGTCCCCTATATTTAATGCATTTTCTGAGAAACATGTATTCATACCTAATTTAATCATTTTTTTTTTCTGTTTTGAAATTAAAGTTTGATTGGAAGAGAGTAACACCCCATTTCAATAGCTAAAGATGTTTCCTATGACCGTGTCTTCGACCTTAGTCAAGTACTTTTTTCTGGTCAAATAAGAGAGAATGTCTGAATCCTGAGGTTCAGTGAAGCCTTTGCTACTTTCTTCCTATCAACCTTCTCCCCAACACAAACAGAAGCAAAACAACTAAACTTTCTCCACACACTATGGAAAATTATCTTCTGTCATATGAGGTTTTCTTACAAAGATTTGTTTTTAAGTGTCATGGCCTTAAATTTAAAGCTTTACTCATTATTGAATAGTTAGAAATTTTGAATTTTTAGTATGAATTATAGTGCAAAAAAAATTTAATGCAAATGGTACTAGAAATGGAGAAAGGTTACTCTATTGTCATTAATCACTTTAAAATATTTTTCTTTCCCTACTTTAAAAAATGTTTATTTTGTTTATTTTTAAATTATAAAGTAGTACATGTTAATTATAGAACATTTACAATCTATATAGTAAATAGCATGCAGAGAAAATATTCACAATCCAAACAAGATTTTGATTTTCAAAATCAACTCTCGTGATTTCCTTTTCTAATTTCAACTTTTATTTTAGATTTAGGGGCTA